GGGAGCTGTGGCTGAGGCAGGCACTGCAGATCTGGGATGGAGCCATGGCTTGTCCGGGGGGTGCGGGGAGGGAGGGTGGCTCCCGTCGCTGTGCACACCTCGGGAGGGCATGAGGGGGCATGCGCCCCCAGATCTGTGCGCGGGGTGAGGGCAGGCTGCCATGACAAGCTGAGACTGGGGCTGGGGTTGGGCCAGGGCTGCACTTGGGGCAGTGGCACTGGGAGTGGGGGCTATGGTGAATTTTGGGGGTGGCTGCCAACCCCGCCTCTTTTGGCCATAGCTCTCCTCCCAGCACAGCCCTGGCCGCAGCCTGCAGCAGCAGCCTGCCCTTGCTTTGCAAACAGATCCGGGGGATACATCCCCCACCATGCCTTCCTGAGGTGCACACAGCAGTGGGAGTCACCTTCCCTCCCCATGCCTCCCAAACGAGCCGCAGCATCGCCCTATGCCCTGCCCCAGCCCCGCTTGCGCCCTCACCACAGGGGCTCCCCCCCATGCCCCTTCCCTCCCCCATCCTTTACCCCACGACAGACTTGCCAGCCAGACGCTGCTCTCCGCGCTGCCGGCTGCACTCCTGGCCACCTGCATGCTGCACTGCAGCTGCATGCATGCAAGGGGCATTTATCAGTGACATCGTTGGGCACATCAGCCAATAAAAAGCCAATTGCCGATGCTGTCAATTTTCTTTATATTGGTGCCAATCTATGGGACCCGTGCACCTCTACATAGAAATGATGATTGCTCCTGAATTAAATATCTAATTTGCCCTACCATTCAGAGCATGTACAAATTGTTGAGTTTTTAGAAAAACAGAAATTCATAGGTATTTTTAAGCTGTGCATATATCAAGTTGATGAGATTAGTTAGTGATTTTTCACTTAACTTTTTCCTTTTTATTTTTCTTTAGGGCTATAAGGACCATTGTCCAAAGCAGTTTTCCTGTGAAACTAGTGAAACCTGGTCCACCTCAGTTAAACATGTAAGTTAGCAAGTAATCTTTTGAGTGTTATTGACATCACATTGAGCATTGTATGGCTTAGAAACTGAATATTCATCTTGACTAAGTCACATTATGACCTGCACTGCTTTAAAACTGTTAACATACTGCTGAAAGCATAAAATAAATTCACTCAGAATAAGTCTTAAATAAAACTATTTTTGGTGTCAGAGATATTTTAAGTATCACAATATGCATAGCTTTATAATGAGTTTGATAAAACATGAAAGTAGCTATTTCTTTAGCCAGAAGGCATAATCCTTGGTCTTGTCTATGTTGGGTATGTTTTCCAAGTCCTGGATTTATCCCAAGTTGGATAAATGTGTTGAGTTATGCTGTTCCAGCCTCTATGACTAAACTATGGGATCCCTCCTCTGCCAGGGTGAAATTCTTTTAAAACGTATTTTGTACAATACTTCATTGTACAGTGTTTTATAGTTTAAGTATCAGAATCCAAGTTGCTCTGAGCAAGCTGTTGTTTTGTTGGTTAAACTACCTCCTGTAAATCCCTGTGCATGTGTTCCTGAAATATTTTGTCAGATATATTAACAGTATTAGACTTCCAACATATTTTTCCCTGGTTGTTAAAAGAGTTCCCTAAGTTAATTCTTAAGGAAGATGGGTAAGTCTCTGGAGCTATTGCTCTTATCTGACTAGATGGGCCCTACATTAGAAGTTTTTGAATGGAAAAACAAACTGTTAATATACCCGTGATTCTAAAATTACCAGAAATAATCAGAAATAATTGGGCTTTTAATGAATCATGAAGAGGTGACATTTAATTTCTTCAGGGTTTGGTTTGTAACAGGACATTTACAATTGATAAAAATATTTTATAGGAGTATATATAGATTTTTGACTTCTGAATTTCCACTTATTAGGGCCTATTCTTAACCTGATCTCTCTCTCTTTCTCTCTCTCATATTGTACTAAAGAGAATATTACACTTAAGTGAATCTGTGAAATTATTCTTGTTAGGAATCCATCTTACCATAACTAAGGTCCTGGCCCTTGACAGATGTGCTATTTGGAGCTTTCCGTATTCTTTTGCAATATTCCAGACAGCAAACATACAGACATACACAGCTGAATTGCTTCAGAAATGGCTAAAGTGCCTCAGAAATGATCCTCAAAAATGAAGAACATCTCTTAAACACTTCCCGAAGCAGCTCTCTGCTTCAGCAGAGTGTGGCATGGGGTTGTTTGGTCTTCCAGAATCCCATGGTGCTTTACTGTGTTCTCCCCATGGGTTGCCAGAGGATTGAGCACAACCTACTATTATTCCCCTTGGCTTGAGAACACCACTGCTGCATGTTGTTGCAACAATTTTTGAAGCACAATGGTAGGGGAGCATGGAGGCTGGCCGTAAGGCTGTATGTCACTGGAGCACTTCAAGTGTATGTCTGTCCAGGACTGCTGAAAGTTTTGCCACAGGGGTAGAATTCAGTGCCTATGCACTGTCTTACTGACTGGGGCCAGAACTTATTACTTTACCATCAGGATTTTGAATTGCCATCTCAAAATTATTTTCTAGAATGACCCAGATACAACAGGAAAAGGAACTAACAGAAAATATTTTGAAAGTGGTGAGTGTTTATCTTTTAATTTTTGTTTAGATTTTGGATATAGATGTGAGTAGACTGAAGGATTTAACCCTCTGATATGCATTATAATAATATATATGCAGTGTGCTAACTTCACTTTTTTATTAAACATCACATGGTGAAAAGCACATTTGCTTTTGTCATTGTTTCCTCTTTTTGCTTTTATAATTTATATTGATATCTCTCTGCTTTGGGAATTGTAAGAAATTTGCATTGCATAATAGAAACACATTTTTGTCAGTGTATTTTTGGTATCATACAGATTGAGTAGACCTCTGGACAATAAACTATTGGAAGAGGGAAATTACATTCTTATATATAAGACAGAAAACTTTGCATTAATTTGTTGAACTTCTTCCTGTAATTGTTTCCACTATTTCCTTCAAGGGTGCAAAATTCATGTAAAGCTTCTATAAACTTTCTTAGAATTTGGGAGAAAAACAAATGCTGTAATTTTTAAAATTCAAATGGAAAAGGTTTTCTAGATAAAATATTTTATCTAGGTGATAATAGTCCAGTCACATTAATAACTTGTTAATGAACTGGAAACTAAAGTTGTAGGACTAAAACCAGGAAGTGAAACTAACATAAAATAAATGGGTAAGTTTTTTTCCCCACTGTGCTTGCTGAATGACACCTAAAAATGTAATAGCATCTGTGTGAAAAAGTAAAGAACTACTCCTTTGTTCTGTGCACCAAAAAGTATCAGTGACGTAAATGAAAGTTTTGAATGCACAAGGAGCGTGCATCAGAATCTACCTATTATTCAGCCTGGTATCTTTTGAGGCCTAAAGTTTACTTGGGCGTTGCAGAATGTAGCTGATGGTGATGATTTGTGATTACATTTTAAGAAGATAATACAAGTAAGGGATGTGTGCACTTCTAATAGGTAAGTTTAAAACCAATATGAAAGTTTTTAAAATAGAGAATTATTTGTGTGTGTATTTGATCTATTGTAGTTGAAAGAGCAGGCTGCTGATTCCATCCTAGTGCTAGAAGCAGCACTTAAATTAAACAAAGATCTGTATGTCCACACTATAAGAACTCTGGATTTATTAGCCATGGAGCCTGGTATGGTGAATGGGGAAACCGAGAGTTCCACAGCTGGTTTGAAAATCAGTGCTGAAGAAATACAGTGCCAGGTATGTGGCATGTTTCAACCTATAACACTTCTACCATATTTTTTTCTTACAAAATATCACAAAAGTATAATTTTGCTTCACGTTATTCTTCTGTTGGGGGTTTCTTTTGTCCCTTGTTTAATCCATACACAATTATTACTTGGATTTCTTTTTAAATAAAACACATTGAAACTTTTTTTTTTTTTTTTTACTACATGTACTGTTGCTCATGGGTTCCTTCACAAACTCTGATTGCTCTTTTAAGAAAAGAAAAGGGCATCATTCTTGATACCAATATAGGAAATTATCAGTCCTACTAATGTTGCTACCAGACATGTGGAAAGTTTACATTCTCTGCTGCAAGAACTTGTAGTCTAGTGCTAGAGAAAACAAATGGAGGATGTAGAATTTTCCTACTACATAAATCAAGCAACTGGGAATAATTTAAAATACCTTTGTATATAACAATAAATATTCTAGTTTGTTAAATTGAAATGTATTTTATAAGAGTTCTAAATTTGTTTATAATGCCTATTATCTTGTTTTTAAATTATTATTATTTCAGGTCTGTTATGATTTGGGTGCAGTCTACTTCCAGCAGGGTTCTACAAATTCAACCATCTATGAAAATGCCAAGGAAAAATTTTTTAGAACCAAAGAATTGATTTCAAAGGTAAGTTTGGTTATACGCTGTGATCAACTATTACATATCTAGAAACTAAAACTTCTTGAAAGCCAGCGCACCAAACATAATCTTTAGTTAGTTACTGTGGGCAGAGGACCCCTAAAACACAGCCATCACAATATTTAAACTCTGTTTTCAGCAGTGCTTCTCATTTTCTTAAAGCTAAGCAAATGGTCTCCCAGGATATAACTTAAGTATATAAGCCCTTCAGTATTCACTTGCTCAAAGACTATGAAAATGAGCACTATGTAAATACCTGCAGAGACTTTCCTCCCCATTCCCACTATAAATGCATACAATCATGTACTGGACTAAAGAATCGGTGGCATGTTGTTTGCCTGCTGATAGATGATTTTGACTGTCTACAGTGTCACATTTAATTACCTAAGCTAGCTTTTTGAGAGAGAGGTGAGAAACAGACTATGTGCTTAGTAAAGAAGAAACACTATGATTTATGAGTCTGTACTGCTTTTGGCACCCATGGTATCATGACTTTCTGCATGGATGTTATTGTGCCATGTAGACATACCCTAAGATTACTTTTCCAAATGTTGGCCATTTTCTGGGTGAACAGAAGATTAGACGTCTGTCAAATTCTGGTACTTTGTTCCCTGCTGCAGTAAGCTTCTGGATTTTTTAAACTCAAAAATCAAACAATATATTTCTTTCGAGGGTGCTTCTTCAAAATGAGGATGTGTAAGCCAAAAGAAAAGTCCAGATATTTTCTTCTAACAAGTCTGACTTCTCTATAAAATAGAGTAGTTTTGCTTGTTGATTTACTCTTCTTTAGGAAATAACCTCTATCTTGATGTGTGTGATTGCACATATTGAGTGAACCCTGAGTTTATGGGGGGAAATAGATGACCTGCAGAATGATCCGATTTAGCAATGAACAGTAATACAGTATAACCTCATAAATCTGGAATTATCAAAGATCTGGCACACCCCCCACCGCCCCACCCGCTCCAGGATCAGCCACCACTTCCCCCTGCCCTCCCGAATGTAGAGGAGAAAGCTTGCTGCCGCCGCCATTCACCACTCTGCGCCACTATTTCACATGCGGTGCTGCTCCAGGACTGGCTACCTCGATCCCTCTCCCCTGCTCCATGACCAGCTACTGCCCTGGTTTCAGAAATCCAGCATTTTCAAATTTCCAGCAAGTGCTTGGTCCTGAGCACGCTGGATTTATGAGGTTATACCAGGGGTTGTCAACTATGGGGGTGGTACTTTGAAAGATCCCAGGGGGCACGCATGGGTGAGTGGGAACGCAGTGCTGCCATCCCACACCGCCACCTCTCAGGAACAGGACCGGTCAAAGAAGCTCCAATCAGCTGGCCAGACATGGGGGGAGAAGTTTCCATGTGGTGGCCACTGCCATCTACCACCCGGCACTGCCGCTCTGTGTGGCCACCCCTCACCCTGGCTCCATGCCTGGCTCCCGCTACTCTTTTCCCCACCTCACCACCCCTGCTCCTTGACCAGCCGCTGGGGGTACACTGCTCAAAAAAGGTTGAAAACCCCTGGGTTATACTGTACTGTAACTGTATTGTCCGGTGGGAGCTGCTTGCTGAGGATCTTTTCTCAATTCAAAATAATTCCTTGTTGTAAGCTCCAGTGAAGGTTTTAAAGTTTTGTTTTGTTTTACTGGCTTTGATTGGGATAAGTCCTGAGCTTTCCCAGTTCCCATTATGTCTGTTAGTGGACTAAAAATATCCTCTTAGTCTGTCTGTCTGCAGCACCAAATATTCTGAGGATTGTTTGGTGTTTTGCATATTGTAGCTGAAAAGGTGACAGGGAATTCATAAGCAAATGTCCATCTTATATGAACCCTTCTGTTTTGTTTGGAGTGTTGAATTAATTCTTGAAAAAGATTGTAACATATCTTGGGAACAGAGTTTCAGATCTTTTTTTCAGTATGTTGCTGTATAAGTTCTTTATACTCACGTCATTTAATCCTACATTCTCCAAATGCCTGCCTATCAAGCAAACATGTCTCTTCAAAAAGAAATAGGAATGTTTTTTTTGGTCATGTTAGGTGGGCCTAGTTAAAGTGACTCTGGCATGTTTGGCACTCATAGGGACATATGAAACTATCACTGGAAGGACCTTCTGGGTCACTGAATCCAGTTCCTACTATGACAGATAACCTTTCATGTAATTCTTCTTTTCTTTCTCTTTTTTTTTTTTTTTTTTTTAGGAGAAACAGGTTGTTAAATAATAATTTTTTAATGTGTTCAGCTACTATCTCTTGCCTGTTTTATTCAGAAGTCGTATTTAACACGGATAATGTATACATGAGATCTCCCTCTGGTAGTAACTTGGCTATGTAGCACGTTCTATATTGTGTTACTGACCCAATATGTTAGTCTATATACGTAAGGAGGAAAACAGGAAGAGGAACTATGTGAGACGAGACTTGGCTTTGTTACCTTTGTAGATATTGGAGTTCTTGCAGTTTTCATTTTTTTTAAATTTTTAATGTATAAACATAGGGTGCCATTAATTTAGGATGTGAATTATGTATGAGTACAGTAATACAAGATACCCATTTTGCTAGTGAATGTTTATCAGTTGTTAATTTAAACTTAGCCCAAATTTTAATATGATAAGTTCAGTATTTCTTTGGGTCTTTTATTTATTTAATTTTTTAAAGTTTCCATATGTACAATTGGGAGGCCAACCTTTTTGGCAGACATGCCACAAATTAGCCCCACACCCTCCCTAAGTGCCTTTCTAAATCCCCTTTCCCTGCCTGATCTGCTGCTCTGCTTTCTGCTCCCCGCCTGATCTGCTGCTGTGCTGCCTGTCCTCTTCTTGATCTGCCATGTGCCCATGCCATTTGTGGCACTGCTGCTGAAGGCTGGCCATCCCTTTTCCAAAAAACTCTTTTCTGCAAACATGAATGCAAATATGAAATAAAATGAAATCTACCTTCTGTTGTCTAAGCTTGGAGTAAAGTTTAAATGGATACAAATTTAACTGAATCTTTGAAGTTTTTCCTTTTCAGTGGTTATCAGTAGAAATGTGTTGGTCTCAACACTACTCAGGATTAAGTCCATAATTCATTAAGACAAAGTAACTAAAACATGATGCACTTTTATTTTACAGATTGCTTCATCATCACTTCATTGCACCATAGATGAGAAGAGGTTAGCTGGGTACTGTCAAGCTTGTGGAGTTCTTACATCATCTTCTGATAGTGCATCGCAGCAGTCAACTCCTTACAGTCAAATCCATAGCTGTATGAAATCTGGCAGCTATCAGGTAGAATACTAGAAAATCACCTGGGAGTTCTATGAATGCATATTGAATAAGTTGAAATGTTGAATTCAGTTGTGGAGCTTTTTTGAGAATGAGTTGACTACTATGTGTAACCCTATTTTTTTTTATTGATGTACATTTATATTAACATGTGTTGGCTTTGAATAATCCAAAAAAGCCCCAGCCAGTTGATGCCTAAGATTTGTTAGGGTAATAAATGAAACTACCACACAAGACTACTTATAATGGGGTGGTTTGCAAAAAAGATGCATAGGTTTTCTTCTAGATCCTGTGGCTTACTTGGATGTAGAAAGAGTAACTTCAGTTCTGTGTGCTTTCATTTCTTGAGCTGTACAACATGTATGACTTCTTCCTTATTATCGGTTAGTTAAAGCACAACTCTTTTGTAGTCTTTCTGAAGTCTTACATGGGTGTGAATTATTTGTACAAATGTTTGACTACTTAGTATGAGCAATTCCATTAGGTAGACATTAGGTATGTAAAAATATGCATCTGCATATTTTTGAGACAATACTCTAATTGTGTGTTATATTCCAGGAGCTAGTGAAGATCTTCCTTGAAGATAACTTAACCCTCAGTTTACCTATTCAGTTCAGACACTCAGTGCTGAGAGAACTCTTCCAAAAAGCTCAACAAGGGTAAGACATTCTTACTTGAATGAAATATCATTGCTTTTTAGTTTCAGTGTATTAGTTATGTCTGAAGTCATTTGACATAATAGTTGGGAGAAAGGTCATGATTGATTTCTTTTAGACTGAAATTCTGTTGCAAAATCAACTCCGTGTACATATATCACTATGATCATACAGGACAGAATTCCTCATCCCTGTTACATTTTCATACATGAAAACATCAGTGGAAAGGCAGAAGGGAACAGCTATTGTAACAGCAGAATTGTCACACCTATTTTCTTCCCCCTGCTTTAATTGTAACTAGTCTGTAAAGGCCTCGTAAAAACTTTCCTCAAACCTGCAGCCAAGGTTGAAGCTAACTAGGCAAACCATTTAAAAACAGTGGCACTGGAGGAGATGTGGCACTTTTCAGGAATTTTGACAGCAGTCTTAATCTGACTGGGGTTCAGACTACTACTCAGAATACAAATATTTAAAGCCAGTGCTATGTAGATACTCTTTCTGTGGAGCTGGAGAGTGCTATGCTTAAAATATCAGATGTCACCTGGAACCCTATCTTCATACGTCTCAAAGCTCTGTAATCTTTCCCTTTTTCATTTATGCAGGAATGATGCTCTGGATGAAATTTGTTTCAAAGTCTGTGCATGTAACACTGTTTGTGATGTAATGCAGGGTCGAATGATTGACATTCAGTTTAACCAGCTGTTCCTTAAACCCAACAAAGAAAAAATAGATTTTCTTCTTGAGGTAAGAAATGATTGTCTTCAGCCTGCAAATAACTGGTAACTAAAAAGTCTGCTTTGTTTAAGTGCATTATTATTTTTGCAAGAAACACCCTAAGATTTCTAAATTTAGAAAAAACTATTCTCACCTCTGTTTTTGAGCATTCTTTGTGCATTTGAGAGCACTCTTTGTGTAGACAGTTTCACTTTTATCACATACAGAAGGGAAATTTAAAGTACATTACTTGAGACATAACATTGGAGCTTCTGATATTTCCAATAGGTGGCAGCATGTGTGTTTTTCCTTCAGTTAATTCGTGGGGTATTTTTCTTCTTTTAAATTTTACAGAATTATCCTGGATAATAGGCGCAGAAAGAGCAGTTGCAGGAAGAGGGTATCCTGTCCTCCAAAGCCTCTTTGGTAGGCTATGGGGAGAGAAGGAACAGACAGGGAAAACAGTTCAGATTTCTCCCACTGTCTTTTAATAGGGGGAAAACAGAAGGAGAGAGATGGCCGAGACTGGGTTTCTTTCCCTCCTTTTCTGTAGAACTCAAACAGGAACAGCCAGGATATCTTTCCTCTGACAAACTTTTGTAATGAGCCATGTAGAATATCCTCCAGATCCAGCTTGCCATTTGCTAAAGTGGATGAAGAGAACAACAAGAACTTGACTCTGTAGGGGTGGAGAAAATTGTAGGAGTTGAGGGACCTGTCAGCTTCCCAATAGGGCCAGTGGAAGCTGAGGAGAAATATAACTGGAGATCACTCTCAACCTCTCCTTTTATCGTTAACAAGGAGCTGACCTTTCATCTCCTGAGCCAGTAGGGATTAATGAGGGTGCAAGGTGAAATAACCTCTGTCATTTTATATGCTGGATTAAATACTAGCTCTCATCTGCCGTGATATCAGTATTTACTGTATTTGGAGGGTGGCTATACTAGCTAGTTTTCTTCCCCCAGATGAGTGGAATTTGTATATAGTGTTCATTACTGCTGTGAACAAAACTTGTGGAAAATGTACAAAATGTGTAACCAGTTGAAA